TCAACAGGTACGAGAAAATGGAAACAAACCCCTGCATTTTACTTGACCACCAGTTGATTAAAGGTGCATCTCAACAGCAGAAGGTTTATAAACTCACAGAAGCTGATCCACTGACCAGTGAATGAAAAAATTGATCAAGCAAGAAATTAGGAAAGAACTTCAAAACTTTTTTCTGTGTCATCAGTTTATAAGTTAGTTCTAGATAGTTTGATACACAGCATGGAACCCAGAAACTCTGTAGAGAAGTAAAAATCGAAGGTAGGTGAGTAGGAGACAGAAACGCACTAAAAGTGAGGTTGAGCAGGACGAGGTGGTGCAAGCCTGTAATCCCAGCACTCTGGAAGGCAGAGGCAGGCAGATCTCTGTGAGTTCGAGGCTAGACTAGTCTACAAAGGGAGTTCACTACAGCCAAGGCTACACAGAGAAACCCTGTCATGAAAAACAAACAAACAAACAAACAAACAAACAAACCAACAAACCACAACGAGGTTTCTAAAAACTCCTTGAAATAGGAAGCATGCGTTTTAGTGGTTTAGAAAGTGCTCTGAGTAGCTCTGGCTGTGTAAATCAATAAATCAAGATGCGCCTGGGGATCATAAACAGCTTCCACAAATGTTAGATGTTTTCCTGAGCTAAATTCTTTATAGAGATACTGAGGAAGTCACACATCAACCAGACAGCCGCGGCTGAGGTCACAAAACTGTGTGCAGTCCTGAACTCGGCACCTGGACGAAGATGGCTCACAGCCTTGGAGGGAAGAGATGGTGCTGTTTCGCTCTTTCAGGCAGGAGGCAGGGAAGTTTGGAGAAGCGCTGTCAGGTTTATTGTTATCTTGATGGTCATCTGGTAAGAGGGAACCTCAACTGGGCTAACTCCACGTTGGCCTGTAGACATTCTGTGGGCCTCGTCTTGACTGACGTGAGAGCGCCCAGCCCACTGTGGGCTGGTCTAAGAAAGGCCACGGAGCATGAACTAGCAAGTCACATCCTCCGTGGCTTCTACTTCAGGTCAGTTCAACCCTGACTTCAGTTACTGATGGACTGTGACCTGGAAGTGCAAACCAACTAAACCTTTTCGTCCTTTCGGTCGTGGGGTTTAGCACAGCCACAGAAAGCAGCTCAGTACGCAGAGAGGAGTCTGAATCTGGTAGGCCACCATGGGCTGGGACGTGAGCACGTGCCCCCGAAGACGTTATTGCTAGAGCTGCTGGCTCTCCGAAGAGCCCTGCTTACTTTGAGATTTTCTCTGTAAACCCACCTCGCCTCAAGGGTGAAAGGCTTTGGTGAACAGCAATCATATGTTTAACTAAACATCAGGCACAATAAAGCAAGTCAGATGAGCAACCCGCGATCAAAAGTAACACGTACCACCTTTTAAAACCAGTTTGGTTGATTTTGGATCAGAGCAAATTACCGGACAGACCGCAGTATTATCTCCTAGGAAAAAGACCAAAATTTGAACATCCGCATTTTAAATGTCTCAGTCAGGTGTACAAACATTATTTTGCTAGCTTGTTTCCCCTGTCAATTTTTTTTTTTAAATGACTGTTTTGTGTTTTCACTTTTTTCAGAAGGGGGATCTCAGGCAGCCTGGATTCCTTTTCATCCTCATCCTGCTCCTTTTGCCTTCCGAGTGTTCCGATGACAGATGTGCACCCCAACTCCCAGCTTTCATTTTCCCTTTCACTCCTCCAAAATTCTTCATGGAGGCTGCCAGCAGAGACCTCCCCATCCCCAACCGCCATAAGCCTAGGGGTAGTGCTAGCTTTGCATGGTGCCTAGGTGTTATCGATTATTTTTACAGTATCATGTAACGGCAAGCGCTGTGCAACTCATACACACGCTATGTGTGTGTATGCGTTTCTGTGTGGCTGTAAATGGATGCATGTGTGTGCATACAAATGTATGTGTATATGTATGCGTGTGCACGTGTGTATGTTTGTCTACATATGTGCATGTGTGTGTGTGTATGTGTAGTATTGATATAACTACTGGGTTCGCATTAGGTGCAAGCAAACAATACAACATTTTTGCTAGATCAGGAAAACAGGTCACTAATTAGAAATAGGAGTGGAGTAAGCACTCTCTCATGGCGTCTTTGATTATTCCCACTTCATTGCACAGGAGATGGGGTCCTACAGGTCAAAGTTCCCCTGCCTGTAAATAGAGGGGCTGGTGCCAGGCCTTGTGATGAAGCTGTGACCTCCCACAGTTTCACCTTTAATCTTGTCCTCTCCGCAGCCTAGCACGCTGTTCCCAACATGGCTGCTCTGAAGCCTTCAGGCCTTTGCTTTATCTGCCCGCAGTTTTTGCACACTCTGTGAGAAATGCCGCCATTAACCATCAGCCCTTGCTTTTCTCTTTTCCCATTTTGTTTTTGTTTAATATGCCCACAGCAATTTCTGCATTTTCTGCAGGTAATACTTCCCTGGAGGCCTGAAAGCTTGGGTTCCACGCCTAAGACTTCAGCTATTCTGTACCCATGATCCAGCTCAATCCTGTTTCTATTTAGGAGTCTTTTCTATGTCACCCCCACGGGACACCTGTGCACAGTAAGCCAGCTGGAGTTCGGGCACAGCTGCCCACTCCTGAAGATGAGCCCCTGTCCCCAAGAGCGTCAACCTCGTTGGGTTTACGGTGGAGCACAGACTGTGCACTTTTCTCAGGAGCATCGTGAGAGCACTTGCCAGTTTCTGAAGCAAGAGCTGAGCACTTCTTGGTTCTGGATATGGTTGACATTCAATGCCAACGTTCACTTTGCCAGGATTGCAAACAGAGCGTTCCAGAGGACGCGCACTCAGGGTGGCCCCACTGCGGTGAGCTGGTGATTTAACTTTAATTGGGCGGCCTTTGCCGAATCAGCAGACTCCTTTTTAAATGTGTTTTCTGGATGTTTATCTCATCTCTCTGTTATATGGGGGAGAGGCATCGGGATGCTGAAGGAACTGTCTGCCATCTCTGTAAACCTCACACTCAAGTCTTATTGCTAATTGCTGTTGTCATGATCTCCCCCCTGTAAAAGAGCAACCGTGTAGATGTTGCTTTAAATGAGCAACCCAGTGGCTGTGTTGTGATTACACACACCACGGCCTAGTTTTACTTCTGTTGCTGTGATGAAACGCTCAACAGAAGCAGCATAGGGAGGTCTATTTGGCTTATGATGCCGGATCACGGTCCATCATGTCAGGGAAGTTAAGGCAAGCATCTAGTCGCATCACATCCCCAGTAAAGATCGAAGAGAGATGAACTCATTCTTGCTTCATTACAGTTTCTACTTGAATACAATCCTGGGGCTAGAATATGCCATGGTGCCCCTCTCAGTGGGCTGGGTTTTTCCAATATCAATTAAGAATCAAGATAATCCCCAAAATACATGTCCGAAGGCCAATCTGACCTAGAAATTATCTCATTAAGACTCCTCTCTGCTGACTCTAGGTTGTGTCAACACATGTATGTGTGTGTGTATGTGTGTAGCATGCCTACACACACATACACATACAGGCATGGCTTTTATTAGCTTGTACTAGAAGGAAAAATACTTATTGCACCTGATAAATCAATTTGATCATCTCTGCTCTTTGCTAGATTCAAATTTATTGAACTCCTTTATATATATGTATATATACATTTACATACATATACAAACACTTATACATACATACATATACATATAATACCTTTCGGAGGAAAATGGAGAAATTAAAGGCATATTGAATTTATCAAAGACTCTAGGGTAAGATCTTCAGCCATTTGATTGAGAACAGAGCAGCATTGATCTAAACAATCTAGAATTGTCAGAAGCCTCTCAGATGCCTGTGGAGTTCTCTGCAGTTCAGCACGACTTCTCTGTAGGTGGTAGATTTTTGTTTAAGAGCTCTTCGTTTGTGGAGGCAATGCTCTAGGCCAGCCATTCTCAACCTGTCGATAGCATATCCCGCATATGAGATATTTACAGTATGCTTCATAATGCGCAGAGTTACAGTTATAAGTAGCAATGAAACAGTTTTATGTTTGAAGGTCACCGCAACAGAAGGAGCTGTCTGTATTAAAGTGTTGCAGGATGAGGAAGCTTGAGAACCCCTGCTCTAGAATGCTTTCTAAGTTAGAGGAGAAAAGTTTTCATGTTTGTCCTTAAACATGAACCACCACCATTTTGGAGTGCAAAACATCAGTCAATGTTCGAAATATATCTCAAATCCATTATAGTCGTGTTAAAGTGCTCAGCAATGTTTTCTATTTAGTGATCCCAAGCTTTTAAGAACTGCTAAAAGAGAGGGCTGGAGAGATGGCTCATTGGCTAATAGTACTTGCTGCCATTGCAGAGGACCAGGGTTCAAATCCCAGCACCCATGTGGTGACTCACAACTGTTTTTCACCCCGGTTCCAGAGGATATGACACCATCTTATGAACTCTGACGACACCAGGCACATGTGTGGTGTACGGGCGTATGTGCAAACAAAACATTCATATACATGAAATAAATTAATAGGAATTAATTAAAAAAAATTGGTAAGCTGTGAATGATATTAAAAGGCTGCTTGAAGATTAAAATGGCAATCGAAAGGCTGGACTTATACCTCAGTTGACAGAATGCTTTCCCAGAGTCAAGGAAATCCAGGTTCCACCCAATACATGACACAAAAACTGGGGTGTTGTGGTGGACACCTGTAATCCCAGGACAGGGGAGGTAAAGGCAGAGTGCTCAGAAGTTTAAGGTCATCCTGAGCTTCCCAGTGAGGTGGAGGCCAGTCTGTCTCAGTTTCTTTCCACATGAAAGTTAGTGATCTACCCAGGCTTATGGAGGGCAGAGTAAATTTATGAATGCGCCCTCATAGCAGAATGTTCTATGCTGCAATCCAGGTGTGGGCAGCTTAAAGTATATATATATATGTACACACATATATATATATATGCATATGAATACACACACACACACACACACACATATATATATATATATACATGTGTATGTATATATAAATGTGTGTGTTTACAGTGAAGAATGTTACCTATGCAAATCAGAATTGGACACCAATTGGTGACAGCTTTGCCATAAACAGGAACATATTCTTTCACGGCTAGGAAGCGTGGCTGCCATAGCTGACAACTCCCAATGATACCTGGAGTCTGTTTTATTTTTTGTTTGTTTGTTTTTTAAGTTTTAGGTTCCTTATCAGTATGAAAATGACCCATACCATCAACTGAACTTGGAACATCTTACAGATGAAAGTTTTATCCTTCTGAGTGTCTGAGGCCAGCCACGTGTCCTCTGTCACCATTCTTGGATTTCCATTCATAATTTAAGCTCATCCTGTTCAGCGGTGTGAGATGAATGGGGCTCTGACTGGGTTATTCCAAGGAAGAATGATATATTGTCCCGGTCACACAAATTCTTTATAAGAGATAATTCATCCAAACATACACCAGTCAGGAGCTGTGCCATTTGTCACTGTGCTGGGTTCTGAGAATACAATAATAAAAACAGTGGGAAAAATGTGCTCTGGACTTTTGGAGCCTACACTATGTTGGGGCCCAGGGACCAGGAGAAGATAACTCAACCCACCATATGTGGACTGAGATACAAAGAGAACAACCTCCCTTAACAATCAGTGCCTTGAGGGGTCATAAGGGCTGGGATGATGCAGAGTCACAGAAGGATGCTCTGGGCAGAGGTGAGGTTTGCTTAGAGCCAGGAAGATGAGAAAGTAATGGGGTGTGAGAGGAGGTAGAGAAAAGGAAGGACAAGGAGGACATGCTCCAGAATCCATGTTACATCCCTGTCTCTGTGAAAAGACACTATGATAAGGGCAACTTTTTTTGAGTTCTACTAATTCTTGTTTTAATTTTTTATATTAATTACAGTTTATTCATTTTGTATCCCAACTGTAGCCCCCTCCCTTAACCCCTTCCATTCCCACCCTCCCTTCCTTCTCTCCTCCTATGTCTCTCCCCGAGTCCACTGATAGGGGAGGTCCTCTTACCCTTTCCTCTGACCCTAGCCTATCAGGTCTCATCAGGACTGGCTGCATTGCCTTCCTCTGTGGCCTGGCAAGTTTACTCCCCCCTCAGGGGGAGGTGATCAAAGAGCCAGCCATTAAGATCATGTCAGAGACAGTCCCTGTTCCCCTTACTAGGGTACTGACTTGGAGACTCAGCTGCCATGGGCTACATCTGTACAGGGTTCTAAATTATCTCCAAGCATGGTCTTTGGTTAGAGTATCAGTCTCAGAAAAGACCCCTGGGCCCAGATTTCTTGGTTCTGTTGCTCTCCTTGTGGAGCTCCTGTCCCCTCAGATCTTTCTATCTCTTCTTTCTTTTATAAGAGTCCCTGCACCCTGCCCAAAGTTTGGCTATGATTCTCAGCATCTGTTTTGATACCTTGCTGGGTAGAGACTTTCAGAGGCCCTCTGTGGTAGGCTCCTGTCCTGTTCCCCATTTTCTCCCTCTTACAATGTCTGTCCCATTTGCCTCTCTGAGTGAGAATTGATCATTTTACCCAGCTTCTCCTTTCCAAGGCAACTTATGAAAGAGAATATTTACTGGGGCTCACGGTTTCAGCAGAACATGATCATCATGGTGGGAAGCAGGGCAGCAGACATGACAATGGAGCAGTAGCTGAGAGCTTACATTTGATTCACAAGCATGAGACAGGAACAGAGAGTGAGTGGGTCATGGGCTTTTGGAACCCCAGACTCCATCCCCAGTGACACACCTTCTTCAACAAGACCACACCTCTTAATCCTTCCCAAGTATTTTCACCAACTGGGGACCAAGTGTGCATTATATAGGACCCTATGGGGTCAGTGTCATCTGAACCACCACAAAGGACAAGCTTATGTGCTTGGAAACCAACATTCTGGAACATGCCATTCCATCACTTGAGAGACTGCTTACTTCAACACTAAGGGAAAGAAGCCAGAAGCATTGAGGATTTCAGGAGCTCATGGAGAATGCAGTGACCAGTTAGTGAATGGGAGAGAGCAGCTAAACTTTAGTTCAGAATGTAAACTTTTTTCATTCAGAGATGTGGATGCAGAAAAAAACGCTCTATAGCCTTGGTTCGATTCTTGGCACTAAGCGCCTTCCCTGGACCTTAGCTTTCTTTTGGTGAGACAGAAACAGCATCTACTGCAAGAGGCTGTTGGCGTTTAGTAAGATGACAGGATGCTCTGCTTCATGGATCATGACTGCCCCACACAGATGGAGTCATTTGTTCCTCACTGAGCTGTTACCTGTGCCATGCTGCTTTCAAGTCCCAGGCAAAGCATGGCAAAGTTTAAGTGACATAGATAAAGAAGGAGGATGGCATAGAGGCCTGGGCTGCTGGGCTGGGTCTTAGAAGCTGACCTGAGGAACCCCAGTGGAACAAATGAAAAGCAAAGGTTACCCAAGGAGGACACAGTCTAGGAAAACACTCTGAATATCATAGTTTCGCTCGCAGCCCAGGCTGCTGGGGAAGGATCTTGGGTTGTTCACAAACGAGAAAAGATGAGTCATGTCAGAATTGGGTTGTTCACAAACGAGAAAAGATGAGTCATGTCAGAATTTACGCCTCAGATGAGCACCCAGGAAACAGTCTGCCTCAGTCTGCCTCACCAGTAAACAGGGACGCACTTCATTATTAAAAACAAGCTAAGAGAATAACCATTATGGTAATGTGTCACTCAATCCACTGGGAACAAGGCAATTATCTTCAGGATATTAAAATAATGGCTGGCATTAAGGATGTTTAAAGACCAAGTCCACTGGAAGAATGAATAATTTAGCAGAGTAACTATGAAGATTTCCTTCCTTGCCCATATAGGCAAACCCACAGATTGAACCTCAGTCCTAAAAATACCAAGAGACATATTTCACAGATTGAGTGGGAAAGCTACTGAGCTGCGCACAAACCTGCCTGGCGTCCGTGATTATTTTACTCCAGGCTCGTTGTTTAATTGACGGGAAGCATCTAAATCGTCCCAGGTGCTCGGCAGAAGAGACGACATAGATTGAGCAATGGGCGGATTATTACTATTGAGCATACTTACAGAATTTTGGACTCAGGGAGCACTTTAGAAATCTCTTATTTGTGACTCTCTATACCTTTCCTTGAGTCTGACAGGTGGTAAAAAAAAATGCTTTGTGTTTTAAATTGCCACGATGCAAACACCATTTTTTCTTGCTCTTAAATATGACTATGTGGGGGTTGTGAAAGGGCAGGGATCACATATGCTCAAAATAATTATATATATATATATATATATATATATGGCACACACTGAGTTATGTCTCAATGACAGGTGACAATGCCAAAGAAGAGAACTCCACCACCCTTAAGGTAATTGACAGGTGTCCCAACACCAACAGCTCCCAATGATACAACCCATGAAAATGCATCCGACCAAGAGGTCAGCTCTCCTAATTTTAACAATGGCACACCTGCCGAACTTCTTGCTTTTATGAAACCAGTCACTGCCAGTTTCCCAAACATGCACATACGCATTTGTGTGGAAATACAAACCTAACACAAAGAAAGAGTGTTTATACTGCCTGTGTTTGGAGTTTCCCATGCTTGGGACTGGAGAGGCAGTTCAGTAGATAAAGAGCTTGCGGCACAAGTGTCAGGACCTGACTTTGAATCTCTGCAGCCCACATGATGTGGTTGCTGCTGTGCACATCTGTAATCCTAGTGCTCCTAAGAGGAGTAACTGAGCTACACCCCCAGCGGGCTCCCAACTTCTGAAGGGTCCTAGCTCCTACTCCTTCTTCTGATACCAGAAGGAACTGCAGAGCAGACACAGGTTTCCATGAGCTGAAATCGAGTTCTTGACCCAAACCTTTATAGAGTCCAGTGCTAAAGAACAAACGAGAACAAAAACAACAAAAAGCAAACAGCAAGAAACCAAAGCCACCAAGATATGTCCACCCACAGTCATCTGAACGCCTGACACGAGGAGCCACAGACTTGCAGGCAGTGTGCCCTGCTTGGCCAGGAAACCCAAGTGAGGTCCAGACTCTACTCTCTTCCCAGGGACACCTACTTCATCCCTGGAATTCTGACAGACTGACTCTTCGTGGGGGCTCTGGCGCCCTGTGTGGAGGTTTCATGGAGCCTGCTGGCACCCATACACCCAACTAGGCCAGGCTGGGCCCGAGGGATGCACAGGGCATAAAGCTGCGTGGGGTACTAGGATGTACGAGGGTACGTGAGGGATGAGCAAGGGTGTGAGGGGCTGAAAGGGGGTACATGTAGGGTGAGGTGGTCTCTAGACTCTGCTGTGGCTGTGGGCGCGCTGGGGCAGAGCCCATGACCGCGCCAACGGCAACCCGCCCTGACCCTGAAGTGCTGAGGCTCCAAGTCTCAACTCAGAGAGGTGATGCTGTCTCAGAGGCCCTCTAATACCTGCTTCCTGCCACTTCCGGGTCAGAAAGCCTTGGCCCTTAGCCTCTCCCAGCTTGTTGTGTCTCCTCCGTCTGGCACTCCCATCCAATGTCCCAAGTCCTCTCTGGGCTCTACAAGCCCAGACTCTGGCCCAGCAAGCTCAAGAGCTTGTGACCCTTTCCTGAGGCCCTAGGACATCACTGTAGGCTAATGCTTCCACGGCTCTGGGAGCCCAGGCAGGGACATAGTTTCTCCCAAACCAAGTCTGGGGAAAGTTCTGGTGGACTTAAGTACCACCCTTCCCTTGGGGCCAAGAAAGGTCCAGAGATCCCACCTCAGGCTCTGCTGCTTGGGGTCTTGTGTGGTAGCCCTACTCAGCGCTATCCATTGCCATTGCAGCCTAATGCAAGTTGACCTTGTGACACTGAGGGCTAGGGAACTTTTAGTGAGACTCCCCTGCGCCCCGCCCCAGCCTCTAATTTTAAATGATAAACTAGGGGCTAGAGCGATGGCTCAGAGGCCGAGAGTGCTTACTGCTCTTGCAGAGGTCTGGGGTTCGGCACCCACACCAGGCAGCTTACCCAACCAGTTGTAACTCCCACAGGTCCCAGACCCTTTTCCGACCCCCAAAGTCCCCTTTCACCCTGATGCTCATAAACTCACAGCAGGCACACACGTAACACATAAATGTTTTTTTTTTTAATGTGAATCTTTTTTGTTTACTTTTTATTTTTGAGAATAATAGAATCACAACATTTCTCT